TCCATTGGGGCTACATTGAGAAAGCAGCGATATGAAGGTACAGAAGCATTGAAGAAGTGCATGGGAAAATGGGCGCATGGAAAAAAATTAAAAGCAAAAATGACGAAAATTAAAATGTGACCGTTACCCGTAACTATCAAAAGATGGATAAATCATACCACCCCAATCGAAATTTTACATCCAAATTCAGGAAAGTGAGTAGGTAAATCCAAGTATGCCTCAAGAAACCAACTGAAATGTTAAATATGAACCATGTCAATCAAACCTACGAAGCGATGGACTTGAATTAAATGAAGGTAAATCGAAACTACGCTATGAAACCCTTTACATAAAAGTTAGCGAGGAAATATTGAAGTACGAGGCCCCTTTGGGACCGAGTACTTTAATTTCCGAGTCAAGTAATGTCATTTTACTAAAGAGTTCTGTATTAAATTTTACCCGAAATCGTATTTAAATAGAAAATTTCAATTTTCATATAGAACTTTTGATTAATGTCAATCTGTCAGTGATGACAGGAGACATTATAGACATTTAGCAATGTCATAAATGCGTCTGGTAAAATAACAGGTGCGACCAGTAAAGTGACAAGAAAACGCAGCTGCTCTGCTTTCTGTCATGGAAACTAAAATTTCCTGACAGAAAGTAGGCTTGAAAATGATGGTTTCAGGATGAGTTTGTGTAAAATAATAATTATCATCAAAGCGGAAAGGTGATAACTGATAAACTACACACATTGTTCAACAGAATTTAAGACCATCCAACTAGTTTTTAAAAGCATTGCGTGGATGTGGCGAGGGCGTTTTGAGTTACATTTTTTCCTCCATCAATCCCAAACTGTCTGCCGTCTACAAGGAACGAATGATATGCTACGTAAACACGAGTGCTGAAATAGCCTGCTTTTACAGAATCAAACCGAATTTTGACCCCAACTATTAGTTGCTAAATACCCCTTTCTTATTTGAGGGTAACCAGTAAGTAAGCAAGTTGCAAGTTTCGCCACCACTTTAAGTTATAGCACAAAGTCCTCCTGAATTACTCCCATTTATGCTCATAAAGTGCCAGAATTAAAACAAAGGTGTAACAGTTTGTTACAAGACAGGGGATGAAATCCCTTGATCGTAATTCTTAATTTTGACTTTTTAAAGACCAATTTTTTAAGTTACCGATGCTCAATGTAATTTATTTTAACTTATTTGTAACTGCCCTGTTAGGAAAATAGACTTTACCATTTACATGTCTACATGCAAAATAAAAATACGTCGCTCGCTCAAAAACCACTTGCTTGCGGTTCTCAAAAAAGTTGTATACTTAAAACAATTTCATTCATTCAAACCAATTTTCATAGCACTATGCTCAAAACTTGTGCTTTGAACGGCTTCAACCGTCCTCATGTGTGGAAAATCGTTCACCACGTTTTTTTCTGTTTGACGTGGGGGAACAAAAAGAAGTCATTAGGAGGTAAATCAGGTGCATACCGGCAATGGCTCATTAATTCGATTTTTTTCCTTTCCAATATTCAATTGTTCGAGCTGCAGTGTGAAAGCTCACATTGTCAGGCTAAAGAATGATTGGCCGATTACGGTTGTTTCTCCTTATTTCAGCGACGGCTTCTACCAAACAAATTGTTGTATTCCACGATTTTCAAGAGCTACAGTCGCAACATGACCAATGGTTATATTTCTTCCAAACGTCCGCTCTAGAGTTATGAGGAATTAGAACCGATCGCGATAGGAGGCCAAGGAGTAGGACTGTGGTGGGTAGAAATTAATTCCTTTCATTAGAATACCATGAAAGATAAAATAAATTTCTAACCTCTATCTCTCCCTTTCCCCTATTTATCTTAAAAAAGAGTTTTTTGCATTTTATAATGAAAACCCCCAATGTTGCTCCATGGAATATAACCATGAACTAAATAGTTGTTAAGTTAATCTTGAAAATTAACTTGAAACACGAATCGATTTGCTTATACTGGGTCATTCTCGACGGGCGTCAGTTAGATAGAAATGGAGAACCTTTGGAAATGAAACTAAACTGATAAGTCCTTTAAAGGTTTTGGCATATGATAAATCGAACTAAAATGTTTTCAAGATAGCGCCACTTCCGCAAATACCGGAAGTAGCCATCAACTTTGTTATTTTAAGCTTAAGAAGTAATTAAAACATGGAATATCTCGGAAACCGTTTGAAGCAGCTTTTGACATTTTGTATTAAATAAAAGGTCTCGGAAAAAAGAAAAAAATTAGAGCTTTGACAAAGTGACGTAGTCTCACTTTTTTAGACGGTTACGCATACCATAAGAAAATTCGATTACCGTTTTCTATAATAAATTTTTAAAATTACCCCTGCAAATTTAATTGTTGACATAAAAACTTGAATATCGACGAAACCCTTGGAGCAAAGGGTCAACTGTGGAGTATCTTTGTACTACAAATTGACCTAGAATCCGAAAATCTAGAAAAAATAGGGGGCTCGTATTTAAAATAACAAAGTTGATGGCTGCTTCCGATAGTTGCGGAGATGGCGCCTTTTCAAAGGTTCTCCATATCTTTCTAACTGACGCTCGTCAAGAATGATCCTGTATAGAAAACGCCGGTATTTCTCGAAGGTTCGCAAACGCTCCCAAATATTCTAGAATTGCGACGAACTGGAGAATCTTGCGCACAATCGGTGTACTTTAAAATTAAACAATATTAGCGGAATAATAATTGAAATTTAATTAAAGGAAAAAAATAAACAAAATAAAAAAAATATACAAATTATACTGTAATTAACAGAACTAGTAGCTGCAATCGGCGACAACCATCAGTTCTATCGGCGGCACGGCGGCGGTGGCAAGAATCGGCTGAACGGACGGGCCGACGAACTCGGGCGCCACCAAGCAAAAATCTCGGACCTGGTCGAGGTCGGCGGTAGCCACGGACTGGCGAATCGGTTTCGATAGCCTTTGGTAAACGCAATCGGAGAAACGGCAATCAGGAATCGGTCGGATTTAGCAAGACAAAATTACGGCAGACTTCCTTGCAGAAGCGAAAGCAACAAAACAGAAATTGACGGAAGCGGTGGAAAAGCAGTTTCAGGAAAACGAGAAATATTTTCCTCTCCACCCCTACCCCTTATAATTAGTAGAGCTCACATTTAAGATAACGGAGCGGTAGAAAAAGTTGTTTAAAGAGAATTCCAATGAATTCTTTTTAATAATAATAATTGTAGCTATTTTTACAATAGATAAGGCTGGTCACACAAAGGGAATCAATAGGTATAAAACACACACATTGTATACAAATATTGGACAAACATTATTATTTACATGACATTCAAGTACTCTTGGATTGTGTAACAACACTTTACAATGAGTAGGTCTTTGAGCACATTTTTGAACGTGTTTGTGTTAGTGATTTTCTTGATGTCAGGTGATAGTACATTGTAAAGGTAACACCCTGCGTACTGGACCGACTTCTTGAATTTTGAGTGATTCGGGAAACTTAATGCACAAGCAAAATAAAATGGTACTAACGCAACGTGAATTTACGGCAATGGTAGAGATTAATACGGTATTTTAAAAACTACGGCTGCTTGGTAACGAAGCGGTCAACTTAAAACGCTTCTAAATACCGGGTGGTCTGCAATGCTGGTTACCTACAGTGTGGTTTTAACTTCTGGAGTGAACTTGAGGGCAAAAACCGGTGCTTCGCTACAGAATGCTCTCGACGTCTATCGGGATTTCTAGAATATTCGCTGCAATACACATATACAAAGATAATAAACAATTTAGATGTAAACATGGAGATTCGTGTCAGCGACTTATACTTGACAGGATTGTCACGCTATTAAAACAGTGACACTTCTAAATGCAAATGCAGCTGCAACACGAATGAGGGCGATCCTGCGTTATGGATGAACAGTAGGTGATGTTATTTTACGCTATGCGCGAACTGTAGGACCAAAGGGAGTCTTCTTCGGGATGGGGAAACAGAAATCGACTAAAAGTATATGCCGATTCACGCTCTTTCATTGGTGTTGTATATGTCTATCAGTTGATCACATTTTAAATCGCAGTTAGAGGCCTCGATCGTTGCATGCTTTGATTATAAAATATTCAAAGGTTGCATGCACGTTGTGGTTTTGCCGCAGTTGCATTTCTTTATACTAATTTTAAGAATTACCCTTTTTTAGTTAAACATTTTTGTAATAATGTATAAATTGTTTAAACAATGAAAATGTAAGTTACAAATTAGTCATTCATTCTTAGTTTTTGATGCAACTAAGAAAATTTCAAACGGGAAAAGTGGGGGTACTAGCTTGATTTCAAGTTAGCAACCCCCACTTTAAAAATCGGGTTTTCGGCCGAACTAAGTGCGTACAAATTCTAATTTTGTGGGTACAAAATAGTCTTTAATTAGTCCTAAATTATACGCATATTTTTACTTGATTTGGCCAAAGTGGGGTCCTAACTTTATCGACCTCAAGAAAAGCTTTGATATTGACTGTATAGCCTCTCCAGCGAAAAATTATTTGAAATAGTACTTAAAAGCAAACCAGATAAACTGCAGTGAAAATAGATTAACCAACCTCGAGACCTAAAAATAAGGGCGACTGCATTGAAAACAATTCACAAAACCAGGCCCACCTTTCAACTTTCAAAGTTCAATACTTACAAAAATCAAAAACTTCAATCAGAGTTAGGAGACTAATAGTTTGTATTTTAGTCCTTACCTCTGATTATCGATCAACCACCATCATTATTAACGCATCTATTATTGCGTCTAAAATTTCAAAGCACCTCTTACATTCTGGTCCAGTTGAGAAGCCTGCATTCTTAAAAATTCTCACCTTGAAGAGGTTGACTAAGAATTAATTTTTATTTTTACTTGCAACAAATTCTTGAAATTATAGGATTCACTGTTTAAGTTATCTAATTTCTGAGGGACAAAGTCATTATGTTTTACTTCCCTTTGTCAAGTGTGGGGGGGGGGGGATATTGACTTTCCATTAATTCGTTAATCAAATTTAAATAATATAATTTACTTATGCGAGTATACAAAAATAAGTCAGTACTAAACAATAGTCATATTGTGTTAAGTTCTACGCTCATTTCTTCGCCAATCCACAGCTATTCATCAGCCTCATATGATCTAAATGGTTCTCGATTGCTGGATACCAATCGGCGCCCGTATAGTCCATTTCCGGTAGATCACCACCGTAGTTCTTCGGCAAACATGATGGTTCTAAATGTTTGTGTAACGAGCTCATTTTGCTTCCGTGGAAGAATAGCTGCGACACAAATTATGAGTTCGACTAGTTTAAAATTAAGCATTTGTTTACTTACTCGTCCCTTTAGTTTCTCCTTGATGAAGGGCTTGAAAATAGTCCACACCATGTTGAAAATGAAGGGTTGCTTGACAATATGAACCTCTTTAAGTCTAAGTGGCATAGCATCTTGAATGAAGGTCAAAAGTCGCATACTAATAGCGGGAGTGAACGCCATTACTTGTTTAGTACTCAGGCCATCAAAATCTAAAATAACGACGCCACCACGTACTTGTGTTTCTGGTTCCAAACAAGCTGCTTCGTGCATTAGGTACAGCATACGGAAAACGTTATCTGCTGAGACCTTTGATGTATCCCACAGAGCTAAATTTGCATATGGGTTACTATCAGTCTACGGATTCCAGTGTACTTACATCCGCAGTTCTGGATAAGAACACGTCGCCCTTTATGGTCGCGATTTTTCAGCACGTTCACGACGTTATTGTTAATAAATCCGGCCTTCTCATCTTCTGGCATAAGGTTTCCAATCAGATCTTTGTGCTTCTGTTTAAAGTCGGCAATTCGTTTCATCTGCAAGAAGACCGTCATTATTTATTTAGTCATTTTTTGAAAATAACTTACCAACTCATAGGCGCTTTTAGCGTAGAATTTGCACGGTCTTAAGAAAATTAACAAGAACTCGTCATCAGTACTGAAGTTAAGGGTGGGATCGTTTTGTAACAACTCTTTTAATTCCTTAAGCCCTTGTGCTACATTTTCGGGTGTTTCACGTATGTCCACCTTCGCAAACTCTTTCACCTCGTCAGTAAGAGGACCAACTTCCAAAGTAAAAGCCATCTATAAAAAATTAAGTATGAAATGAACAACTATAAAATGAGATTAGTTACCTTATATTGCTCGCGCTTTAACTGTCACCACAAAGATCCAGTCTAAAAGTAACAGGCATACAAAAAAAATTCTTTATAAAAAGCCCAAGCTCCCTTATCATTTAAAACTTTGATCGATCCAAAGTTTGATTTAAAGAGCGCATCGTTATCTAAAATCGTCATTATCGAAAAACGGTGGAGGCGTAGTGCCGGGTAACTGAAATAGAATTTTTTTTATTATAATCTCAACAATGTGAATCACTGATACTGTTGTTATCGTTTTGGATACGATGGACGATTTACGTGAGAATTCATATTATTTTATACGTGACTTAATACTCAGTTCAACTAACTGCAAATGCAAAAACAACGTATTGCTATTTGCACGTGCAACTTGAGATATTTGCTACGGAAATGATTAGTTAACATGGTAACCTGTCTTACCTTAAACGCCAAATCAAGAGTACGTAAGTACTTTGATTTATCAGCGGTATCTTGTTAGTCGAGCTAATAGTGTCGACTCTAGTAGGGTTCACTATCCCTATAATTGAGTTTGTTGTAAAATGCATCATACAGCATACTTGATTGACTACAGAAAATAAATTGTAAATTCAAGGACTTTATGGAATACCACACAATATTCTCGTCTTAGATTAGAAATAACGTGGGTTCTTCGTATGGTTGCAACATAGCATCAACGGGCTTGCCATGTGTGTTGTGCAAGTACAATGGCTTGACTCCCAAGACCTAAAATAATAAGCAACATTCGAACGCGTCCATATTACGTCACTATCAAAACTAAGTTTGACATTTTTCCTTAAAAAAATTGGTGCACAGAGTCTCTGAGCACTAGTCTCAAACGAGAGTAAAAAAAAATGGTCAAGCATCATAATTTTGAACCACAACACCGTATTTTTTCCGGAAAGGGAGTTTTCGTGCTGTTCCATGTACAGTTTTTCTTGTCAAAATAGTTTGACGGGAATTTATGAAAAGGTGGAAGATAGAGGGGGTGTACGAAAAAGTTATAAAATGCATACATACAATCTATTTTTATAAACGCAATATGAAATAGAAAGATGTTTTCATATTCCATTGGTAAGTCTGGACTCTGGAGGATATTAATGATAGGAGTATAATTCATCTATCCAAAGTTCACCTGTAAATCGGACTATGATTTGATAATTACATTTAAAGAGGACGTATATTTCCATTAATTTTCGTGTGCATATTTAAACGAACATTTTTCTAGTCGTATCAGCGACGAAATGTTGCTTGTATGGCGTCAAGCCTAATTGTGTCAACGATTTAATTGTGTAAATTTTATGCGATATTGGCAATGACTTTTAATTATGTCCGTAATAGAAAAATTGGGACAAAAAGTGAGGCGGGAAATCTGCATATTTTTCTTTAATTTCGCACTAATAATTACACAATATACCTAGTAAAACCGTCCCCTTTTCTATTACAACAAAATGAGTCCCTGCACACCTAAATCTCCAAGTACAATGATAATTTACAAATAAATTACACGATATTCTTCCTTGCTTTTACTGAGATACTGAGGACATTTTTATGTAATCTACCTCAGTAGTCAGTTATCGCAACGCAAGTTTGAGGCAACAGTTGTGGTTGAGAGTTGGGGTAAATAGTGTCCGCTGTAGTATTGCGCTAGGATATTTCTATGACACAACAAATTTACAACTACGTACGATTAAAAAGCGTGAATCCTCTCTCTTATATCCTTGATAGGCTTGCTTGAACCCAAGGTACTAAAATGACCCTTTTTTAGCGCATTTTCACAGAAATAAAAAAAAAAACGTTTTGTCCATCTGTCTGTTCGTCGCTACGGCTGTGTTTATACTAGATTTATTTTATTTGTTTATTTATTTATTAATTTCGACTCGACTCGGACGTAACGGCCCATAAAGGTCCAGACCCACCAAATTATTCTTCGGTTTTGGCAGGATGGGTTGAAATGGGGGTTTATTTATTTATTTATTTATTTATTTATTTATTTATTTATTTATTTATTTATTTATTTATTTATTTATTATCCCTCTCTTGTTCTGGGCCTTCAATAGGATTGTGCCCAATTACAGAGTGACCCGCACAATTGACTTGTATTTCTGATTGACGAGCCATTTGAATAACATCTTTAAAGGTTAACTGTTTTGTAACTGCATTCTTTGGCCGGTAGTAGTATATGGGCTTCACCTCCACCTCGTGCTCATGGTGAAGGGGATTCCCCCGCGGTGACGTAACTAATGAGCTAAGTCAAATGGGTTTGTGTGGTTTATATACTGGCTAAAGTAAAATGAGTTCTTATCTTAGCTAATATGTCGTGTGATTTGTATCTCGGCCTGTACCATTTTTTCAGAACTTGTAGAATGTAAAATTTTAATTTTAGGAAGACAATGGCGAGTTCAAAGAATGCTCAAATTTGAAAATTTGACCATTTTAACCATACTTATATGATAAATTCCAAAAACATTTTGGAATGTCCTAATAAATGTTAAAACTTTCTCGGCCTCTTTGATGTGGTTGGACATCATCTTGCCCAACCTCATCATCTTCTGGATTGTCTTCCATCTCCCCCCCCCCATCAATTCCTTACTGAGTCCCTCCTCTTCTTTCTCCAATGGATGAGGGGTGCTGGTGAATACTTCTTCCTCAAATGGAGCGTTGGGGGTCGTCTGGGATTTACAATTCCCGCAGATTGTCGGACATTTAAGTCCTGCTTTTCGACAACTACGGAGAAAATTCCCAAAGTTAGCATTTTTCTAAATTCTACCCACTATAGGCACATTTCCCATTTTCACGGAATATAAGGGTCCTAACATATTAGATATGCATGTGGCCAAAGTTTTCAATAGTTTACTCCAAAGTTAAAAAATAACACATACGTATCTACTGTGTTTTGGAATGTGGCAGTCGCCCTGCATTCTATACAATTGCAAGAGATTGAGTGAAGCACCTCGGTGGGGGAATGTTCCTCTGAAGTGATTATTGGGACAATGCCAGCCCGTGTGGTTTTGTAGGTACCTCAATCGAGGGTTTTTGCCTTCCACACCATACCTGGTGGTACGCGCGGAGGGAGTGATCCCTTGCTACTGGTGAGTTAACAGGGAGGGATGAGAGGCTAAATGTTGCATTTACCAAAAGTTTGGTAAACTCCAGCCCTGCGTTAACATCGGCACAGATAAAATACCCAATTTATCTGTGACATCGGTTACGAAATGGACACATAACCACCGCCGACTCTACGTAACCGACCGCTCATCAAAAGTAGTTTTTAATATAGGTACACCGGCGCTGAAGTCTGCACATTCCCAAGGAGGTAAACAGCGTACAAAGAGCTCAACACTTCTACAGCACTTTGAAACGGGGTACCGAGGTGTACAAAAGGGTGTGCATCAGCGTAAAAATCTAATCTGCTCCAACTTTTATATACTCCCGCTGCATCATAAAGTAGATCAACCGCCGCTCCTCTACAAATGCTCAAGGTTTACCGCTGTCAGCCGCGTAGATCTAAACACTTTTGCAACTCCGAAGAGGGAGAAGAAACATCAAAGTAACGTGCTAAAGAACTTTCCCGCTGGAACAGCAAGTATTACCTTTGTCATGGACTCCAAAACCTCTTCATAGAAAACAAATCCCCTGGAAGCTGGTTTAGTGACCCATGTTGTAGTGCCCTAAGGAGTCTCTGCCAGGTCCGCTTACCGGATCCTCGATGCTTCCCCCTTTGTTCATTATTCCGTCGTTTATTGCTATACCAAAATGTTTCAATCCTTGTTGATGTTAAGAGTCAAGTTGTTCAATGTTACAATTTTTGCTGTGTTCAAATACCAAATAAAAACTGTAAAGGTTTTGTATAATATAAAAAAAACATCTATACAGGTATAATTAGCACATAAGTAAAATTTTTAGACTGTTATAGAGTCGCTATTAGCTTCAGCTATTTGCGATACGACCGATGTCTGAGCCTTAGGGCAACTCGAGGGGCAACTACTTTTCCTTCTGCACACTCTCTTCTTCCTTCTCGAACAACGTCGTCTGCAACTCCTTCTTTTCCTTTTACAAGTACGCCTCTTTACTTTACGTTTGCACGTGCGCCGTCTTTTCTGCAGCTTACATCTGAGCTTCCTTCGCCCAGGTTTACACTTAGTTCGAAAGGGCTTAGCAGCCCTTCCGGCCTGTGCTGCTCTGCACTGGTACTTTCTTCTGCGAAATTCACTCATGTTGCACCACCGGCGAGCTCCTTCGAGCGTCAGCTTGCATGAAAGCCACGTGGGGTATTTCTTACGCAGCTCTTGTAAGAAATTTAAAAAGGGATTTTTCGAAAAGCGGGAGTTTTTTCGTCTTTTGCAGATTACGTTTGTGCCCTTCTCTCTACGTCTACGTCTTCTACATGCCATAATTTCGGAATAAAATTCTCTGAAAGGTCAAACTAAAATTTTGAAGTTAACAAAACAATCTTGTTTGATACGTTAGTAACGCCCAGACGACTACGTAGTTTCACAAATTTCCTATGCAACTAACAAAGTTTGTCTATGGTTACCACTTTATTTTCCAAGGAGACGTAAAATGGTCGGCGAAATACTGACATTCATAACGTCGATCTTTCAGAGAAATGTACAAACATTCGAAAAGTGAAATATCACGTCCAAATTGGTGTTCGCAGTTCATAGCTTTTCAAGCAAGGTACGGCCATTTTCTGTTGCTGAAACGCTCATAGTTCTTACACTTTTTATTACTCTTTTGGAATTACAGATATGTAATTCGGAAAATGTTTTGTCGAATGTTAAATTACAAGAGAGAAAATTTTGAAGTTAAAACTGACATATAAGTGTGTTGCTTGGCAACTTTGGCAAATGACATTTGTTAAATGATTGCCATGAGTGAAGTTGTCAGAAAGCGTTAAATTTGAACTAAACCAGAAGAACATTTAGCCAACAATAATTGGTGCCGAATAATATTCAACAAGACTATTTCGCGAAACCAAATAACTAAAATGACATTGCTCATTTTACAAAGTAAGGTAACTGTTATTTGTGGATATGCTACAGGTAAGAGCTTTGCCATTTAAAAGACAGCCGTTACTATGTAATTTTGCCACTAGTTTAAGATCTGGCAATGAATGTCGTTTTTGCGATCCGTATGAAGACGTTAATAAGTTTTT